GACTGAGTCTGCCTGCTTACTGGCATCCTAGAAAGCCAAACGACAAAACAAGAAATGCCAAGGAATTAACTTGACCACAAACAAATTTAATCAGCAAGCGAGTGTCCTAGTTTTCTTTCTATTACTGTAATAAACACCATGACCAAAGGAACTTGGCCACAGAGGGACACTGTTTAATGGCTTGCTTCCCCTGTGTCTTAGTTTTGTTACATTTCTAATTCTGTAGCAAAACACCATGACCAAGACAACTTATAAAAGAAAGACTGGGCCTGACTGGGCTTTTGAGATTTTAAAACTCATCCCTAATGAGACACCTACTCCAACAAGGTCACATCTCCTAATCTTTCCCAAACAGTTCCCCCAACTGGGGACCAAGTATTTAAATAAATGACCCTATAGGGCCCATTCTCACTCAAACCAGCACACTCTGACATGCTTAGTGACCCCCTCCTACATAACCTAGTGCCACCTACTACCTACTCAGGGGTGGTGCTGCCCTCAGTGGGCCAAGTCCTCCCATATTAATCATCAATCAAGAAAATGCCCCTCAGACTTGCTTATGGGCCAATCTGATGAAAACAGTTCCTCAAATGGAGTTTCCTCTTCCAGTGCCTCTAGCTTGTGTAAGGTTGAGAAGTTCTACAACAACAACTAACAAACACAATGAGAAAAAAATTTACAATCCATGTGACTACCTTTTTCATTCTAGCCAGAGGAGCATTACAAATTCAAACAAACATCCTAAAATAGTAAAATAAAAAGAAACAGGGGAAAGATGTGAGCACTGCGCAGCGGTAACAAGACAAGCAAATGGTGGAACACCAGATACTGACAGGAAAAGGAAGGAATTTGGACTCTAACTTGATATTGTATATATGTATATACACCTATGATAGAAATAAACAAAATATTTAACAATTTTTCTATACTATGCAAGAGTTAACACTACAAAACTCTTACAAGTGAAAAGTGTATTTGTGACTTTGGACAGGCAAAGATCTGACTGACAGCAAAAGCATAGAAAAGTCAGGGGCACTGTACTCTACCAAAAATAAAAACCTTTGTGTGTCAAAGAGTATAACTAAGAAAGTGAAGAGACAACAAAATGAAGGAAAAAAGAAATTCATCCATCCACTGAGGCTTGGTATACAGAACCTACAAAGAATGTTTGCAACTCAGGGGCAAAATACAAGACAGTGTTCAAATGGACACAACATTTTGATACATGTTGTTCAAAGGAGAACAATGGCTAAGATGAAAAGCTGCTAAAACTCACCAGCCTTTAGAGAATGCAAATCAAAACTTCAGTGGTGTTCCACTTCACATGTTTGAGGACGCTTATACTTTAAAAAAAGAAAAATGAGTGTCATGAGAATGTGTAGGACTATACTCTCAAATCATTAAATGCCAAAGCAAATGCGGCAGTGCCTGTGCAAAGCAGTTGACAGGGTCTCAAAATGTCAAATGTAAAATTACTGCAGGACCCAGCCATTTCATCCTTCAAGAGCATCAAATGCAGGGACTGTTGGTCAGGCGGTAGAGTGCCTGCCTAGCATGCCTGTATCTCTGGATTCTGTCCCAAGCATTCAAGAGGTAGAAGCAAGAGGATCAGAAGTTCAAGGCCATCCTCAGCTTTGTAAGAAGCCAGCTTAGAGGCCAGAGACCATCACAAACAACGCAAAAATACAAAGAAGGAACATATTCATACAAAAACCTATATCTGAATGCTTATAGCAGTGAAATTCATAATAGGAAAAGGTAAAAACAGCTCAAATGTTTATCAATTGAATGAAAAAATAAATGTGGTTTATTTAAACAATGAATTGTTTAAGATATATACTTTAGGCTGGAGAGATGGCTCAGTGGTTAAGAGCATTGACAGCTCTTCCAGAGGTCCTGAGTTCAATTCCCAGCAACCATATGGTGACTCACAATCATCTGTAATGGGATCCGATATACTCTTCTCTTCTGGTGTGTCTGAAGAGATCAACAGTGTACTCACATTCATGAAATAAATAAAATGTTAAAAAGAATATATATATATATTTATATATATATATATATATATATATATATATATTTTACATTTATTGAGAATTCCACAACGTATAGGAATAATGCATCTTGATCATATCAATTCTAAGTCCTCTTAGCCCCCAAGACATGCCTCCGAATTTCATGTCTTTCTCTTCTTTTTTAAAAATAACCTAAGTCTGATTTGTAGTGTCTGTGTGCACTGCATGTCAGCCCATCTCTGGAGCATGGGGCACCTACTAGGGACTCCCCCCTTAAAACTGACTCTTGCTCTCCTAGCAACCACAAAGCTCTTCAGCTAGGGGGAGGGGCTTGTGAGCCCCTCCCAACTCTGTGCTATAATGGTGACTGGCTTGATCTTGTACAGGTCTTGTGCAAGCAACAAAGGCTGCTGTAAGTGCACGAATGTAGCAGCCTATCATGTCCAGAAAATATTGTTTTTCTCTAGTTCTCCCAACCTCTGGCTCTTAGAGTATTTCTGCCACGTCTTATGTTCCCTGAGCTCTGTGGAAGCAGATGTAATACAGATGTACCACTTGTAGCCTAACAGAACACACGTGTGTTTTCTCTGCCCTGTGACCACTTGGGAGCCTCTGTCTTAGCCACAGCCCACTGCACAGACACCTCTCCAATCGAGGGCTGAGAACTGTATTAACCTTATGTATAGAACTGAGACTGTTTAAAGGATAATTCAGGAGTGTGTTCATTTAGCAAAAGAATAGTATGTGCACTAGATTATTATTCAACTACAAAGCTAACGAAGTCTTGATAGATGTTTCAGAATGGATGAAAACATGCCAAATGGAAGGAGTCATTCATAAAAATCACGTTACTTGAATTCAGTTATTGAAAACCAGAGGGGGGAAAAGTTATGGTAGCCAGGGACTAGTGTGTGGAGATAGGGTGGGGATGGTGACTGTTAGCAATGTATGTGAGATTTCTTTTGGGGGTAATATAAATGTCTTCAATTAGATCATGGTAATGGTGGTATAAAGTTATAAACTTGCTAAAGCCACCGCATTGTACCTTTTTCTTTTTAAGGTGTTTTTTTGCTAGTTTGTTTTTGAGACAGAGTCATTGTGATCACAGATAGATTCCACCAAAACTGCTTAAGTTGTGTCTTAAAACAGTGACTTTTAAGGTAGGTAATTATTCTGTTATCTAACAAAAAAATAACTAAAAAACAAGATAAAAGATGAACAAATTAAATATTTAGCTTTGAATATTATAATTTAAACAACAACCCAGATTCATTTTCCATTATCATATTATGAAATACTTAGTGCTTTGTAACACATAGTATTACATAGCTACAAAGAAACAGCTTTTTCTAGTTTTGTTTAGAGTATCAAGACATAGCATGTACATCACTTTTTAAAAAATAACCCCATCTCCAGCCAGGTGTTGTGCCACCTGCCTTTAATTAGGGCACTCTGAGGCTGAGGCTGGAGGACAGTGAGACTGAGGCTAGTCTGGGTTACATAGCAAGTATAAAATTAAATACATAAGTAGTATAAAATTAAATAAAAATGTAAAAATGAAGCAAATAAATAGGGACTTAAGAGATGGCTTTGTCTGAAAGTGTTTGCCCCATAATCATGAGAACCTGAGTTCGGTCCCCTGGAGCCACGAAAAAAGTCAGACATGGTGGTGTTTGTGGTCCTGTACGGTGGAAACAGAGATAGCCAGAGCTGCAGGGCTTCACCCAAGCAGTATGTCACTCAGGTCCCGGTGAGAGAGCAACAACCAAGGTGGATGGCACCACATGAGGTTGTCCCCCACATACACACATGTGCACCCCAAACACATGCATGCCAACCATAACTTAAAATAAACGTCTTTGCTTCCAAAGGCTGAGTCTCTGCTTTTTACTTTTATACATACCTGTATAAACGCTGTTGGTTATAGTGCTGTTATCAGAACTTAACCACACAAGGAAAAATTAGCTACCACACAATAAGGTAAACTTACACGAAAGAATTCCCATAATATGGCTTTAAAAAATGTATCAATGTTGCAGTAATTTCTAACCCCAATAAGCCCATATAAAAATCATACAATCCAGTTATTATAATTATAGACTATATGCCTAGATTGGGCAGATCTGGCACTACACTAACTTATTCCCTCGCTATGAGACCCTTTGCCACTTGCGGTTTCTCCTGACACATGGTTCTGCTCCATCATGGCTTCCTCCTTCTCTTCTTTCGTCTTCTCTCTTCCTTTCTCCTCTCTCCATCTGCCCCCACTTTCTAAAACCTCCTGTCTCACCTTTGCCCTCCACTGCCCAATCACAGGTTCTAGCCTTTATTGACCAATTAAAATGGGGAAAAGGTTCACATGAGATCACCTGAGTATGTGATTGACTGCTCGGCACCGGCAGCCCCTCTTAGGGAAGCAGAATTAACATCAGAATACAATCAGCATCAGGGCAACCCACAACATATCATAATTACAAACATACATATACATATATATGCATATATATCACCAAATGTACATGTATTTACACACATATGTGCCTATATTTTATAGATACTATATTTAAGGCATGTTAAAGAGAACATCTGAGAGATAAAAGTCAAAACTTCCTAGAACTCACCATTTATGTTATCCTGGATTAATTTTTAGTTTGGTCTAACACATGTTTATCATATATTAATTTTCAAAAAAGTGTTCTATCCTGTATCTGGTAAGAGTTTATATCATTTTGTATCTAAGGAGGAAAAGCAGGACTTTGGGAGAAAGAAGGTTGTGCTGAGGGACCATAATCCTGCTACTCAGAGGATGATCCTGCTTCTGAGGAATGAGCAGTGGCTAGCATCATGGGGAACCATCAACTTCACGGCCACAGATGGCTTTCGGTGCACACTTTGCTGAACTTGAGTTGGGCAGCTTTCTGTGCCCCCTGAGAGCAGGTTCCTGTGTTGCCACGAACTGGCTTAGGCCTTGCACATAGAACAGTTGTTTTTATTCTCTTACTACTAGATATAGTGGCTATGCTTATGGAGTAGATTCAAATTGTCATGATATGAAGAGAGAGGGCTTTTCATGTTCTCTCTCTTACAAAATGGCTAGACATACCATCACTGTGCCTCTGACTGACGCTAAGTTACATGTGGTAAAACCCAAAACTCTGAGTAATGGACTTGTAAGGGATTTTATCCCTCATCCTTTAAACAGGGAAGCAGCACACTACATCAGTAGATGTAAATGTTAATGCATCCATGGCTTCCCAAATGAGTGGGTAAGTGATGATTTCTTCTCTAATATGGCAATAGATGTGGTGCTGCTGTTAAGTACAGAGTTAAAACCTGAAATAAAGTTAATCCCCTCTTAAACTATCATTAAATTTGTATAAATTTTGGTTTGCTTGCATGTTTAAGCTTGGGTAATTTCACCTCTCTTTAACTAAAAAACAAAGCAAAAAGCCAACAGTTGTTTTCTAATCTGCAGTGAAGTTGGGACAGAAAAGGTCAAAACCCTCTCTGTCACCACAAGTTTTGGTGGGGAGATGGGAATGGGGTGGCTGGGGACCTTGACTAAGCGTGGACCATATTTTTATATATATATATATATATATATATATATATATATATATATATATAT